TGTACATCCTCTGGTCTAGCCAGACTTGTAAGGTAGAATTGGGATCATGATAGTGGGGGGGAGGAGAACAGAAATATTATTAACAATATTGGATTAATTTTCTGAAATAATTTACAAAAGTTTAAGACCTGAAATGTCCTGTACTAAGTACCATTAGGTATTTGTTCATACCTGCATTGAACTAGCAGTGACGGTAGAACTTCATCTGGAGAAGTCCATGTGTATAGTTGCGATTTGTGCTGTTGGCAAAAGGAATTTGCAGTGAGGTCGCTGGTCTTGGAAAAGTCTAGCATGCAATCAGCAGCGTCATTTCTATAACCACGACCGTGTTTTCCAGGCACTACTCCTTCCTCTTTGTTTCCAACTTCGACATTCCAAGCACCAATAATTATCGATGCCCCTTGATTGTATGTTTGATCTATTTGAGACTAAAGCTGTTGGTAGAATTCTTCAATATCTGCATCACTAGCTTTTGTGGTTAGTGCATAACTATGAACAATAGTTGCTTTGATTAGACTTCCCTGTATGCAGGTAGATACAACCCTACCAGAGAGTTGTATTTCAAGATAGATTTTGAAATGTCCTTTCTGACAATGTTTGCAACACTACTTTTCTTGATTGGGTCATCCTTAAGCATATGATTTTCTGATTAAAACAAAATTGGCCAATACCAGTTCTGTTCAGCTCATTAATACCTAGGATATCAATCTTGATGTGTTCCATCTCATTTCTGAAGACTTTTCATGCTCCTAGATTCCTCTTTTGTACATTCCAAGGTCCAATTCTTAGTACATTTTTTGCAGCTGTTTCTTTTGACCACGAGTTGTTCCCCAGCGAACGAAGGCCCTGAAGGCTTTCCTTCCACAGGTTTACTCCGCTCATGTCATTATGTTGACGTTACTTTCAGAAGGCAGCTCTTCCTCAGTTACACTGTGAGTGCTTTCTGACCCGACGGGCTCATCTTCTGGCCCTGTCTCTCCCGATGCTCTGCTTTGGTCCATCAGGCCTTCAGTATCTGACAATGTTCCCATGCTAGCCGGAGGTTTTCACCCGTGAATTACTCTGAAGTGAACAGCCTGTTTCTTCTTTGTAGTGTATTAGTCTGGAAACTCTTAAAACTTGTCCAGTTTGGGTGACCCTGCTGGCATTTGACATACCAGTGACATAGCTTCCAGCACACAAGCCACCACAGGTGACAAAATGTTACACAAGTGGTGGTTCAGGCTAAATTCAGAAAAAGATATGGAATAAAGGATATCATTGCTGCCATCAGATGAACATCAGATTTTCTGATGTCCTGGACATCAGGTCCTCTAAGCAGAAAATGCCAGAAAGAGGTTATGTGACTATGCAAGGGCATTCTACTAGGTGGAGCATAATAAACTATAGATAGCATTGAGAAGAATGGGAATTCCAGAACAGTTCGTTGTGCTCATGCTAAACCTGTACATGAATCAAGAGGCAGTTTTGCAAACAGAACAAGGGAATACTGCATGGTTTAAAAATCAGAAAAGGGATGAGTCAGGGTTGTATCCCATTAATCTGTATTT